TGCCTGGCTGTGAGTTCAAGCAGAGCCGAGTGGGAACACCACTATCCAGAAGCCTGCGGAGTTCCATGTTTGGTTTTACGTTCAACCTGAGCCTGGAGAGCGGCCAACTACCCAGCAACTTTCTGAGGTTGATATCTGGCGGTGACTTCAACCAGAGACCGGAGGGGAGCCTGACACAATTACCCAGCAGCCTGCGGAGTTTGACGTTTGGCTCTGAGCTCAAGCAGAGCCTGGTGAGAACACAATTGTCCAGTAGCCTGCGGGGTTTGACACTTGGCTATGCATTCAACCGGAGCCAGGAGAGCACTCAACTACCCAGCAGCTTCTGGACGGATCAGTGCTGCTTGGTTGAGGGTCAGACGACAGCTCAAAGCGACTGAGGAGCAAGAGGCGTTCACCGGCAAGTTACAAACGTCGGTTAAGAGCTCTGTCTTCAAACAGTACGATGAGGCAGAGGTTGTTTTATTTGTTACCATGAGCGTGACGGCTTTAACAGTGGAATGATCAGGTTGGCATGGCTTGTGAGACGCCGTGCGGGGCATACAGCTTGCAGTTTGCCTCTTTGCCCCAGGAGGAACAAGGCTGAAGCTTTGACCGTTTTGTACGCATGCCCATATATCACCTCGAAGAAGGTGTTCGGCATCTCGGGTATGTATATAGTCACGCAGTCGTGTTAGTTGTGTAGGGATGGCCTCACTGCATACCCATGAGGAATACCCTGCGCATTTGTACGCCCGCTTCGCAGTGCACTTGAGCTGCATTGATTGCGCTCCGTTTGGTTTTGTGGTAGGGCGAGGCAGGCATCATGCAGTTTTTGCGGCGCTGGGTTACGGGTGCCCGCATGCCCTGCCTGCTCCTGCTGCCTCGATTACTGCTCCACTCCTGCAAAGCATTTGTGAGTGCATACTAGGCAGTGGTCGAGCCCCAACTTGAATTCACTCCTTGCTAGAGGTACGTTCGCTTCGGACTTTGCACCTCCGGAATAAAAATAATATGTATATGTATGTATGAATGTATGCATATATATATATATATGTATGTATATGTATGTATGTATGTCTGTCTGTCTGTAGTCTGTCTGTCTGTCTGTCTGTCTGTCTGTCTGTCTGTCTGTCTGTCTGTATGTCTGTATGTATGTATGTACGTGCGTACTTACTACTGTGTATTATATATATATATATATATATTTAAAATGCATATGTCCTAGTATGTATTATATATCAAACATGCACATAAACCACCCACACATTTCAATATGCAGTGTATATGTATGTGCATGAAAGGAAGTCCTTGCACAGTAAGAGAAGGAACAGAGAGACAGAGACGTAGAGAGAGTGATGCAAACTGAGAAAGAGGCCTGCGGCCTGTGTACTTCAATACATTTGCAGTCTGTTCTGTATGGCACGGTGGATACCTGTTACCAACAAATCACAATCAAACTGTCTCATCTGCTGCATGGCTGCCTGCTGCAGCTATCTGCGATTGTGCCCTCTTGCCTTCCATCGTTCCTGTCTTCCTGTTTCCTTATTCCGGGCTGTGTTCACTCCTTTCTTCCTGCTTCGTCCAGCTTAATCTTCCTTGTGAGACCGTCTGTTGCGTGCGAGGGCAAGTACTTGCATTCTATTGCATTCTACTCATTAGGCGATACTTATTTATTCGTGCAGCATGACTGTGGAACATTGTCAATGACATGGCGGCACTTTTCCAAGCATTAGCCACAAGGGCCATCAAGTCATTAGCAGGTCATTCCCCTTCAAGGATTCCTCGCGCACGGCGGAGCCTCAGAAAAGAATCAGAAGATCCGATTGGAAGCTCAGCGCGGCTCTTCACCCTCAGCAACCCCTTCGCACTCGGAGTGGTGCCACTCCTCCCACTGCGAATTCCTGCCCTCGAATCGGTGCACCTGGCAAATGCTCAAATGCTTGCTTGCCGCTTCACGCTCATCCGGTTGCACATTCGCCGATTGAGCAGCTGCACTAGTCGTCCAGGACGCTTCAAACTACGATCGGTACATTAATGATTAACCCACTAGTCAGTCAGGCAGGCGGAGAAGCAGGCCTGCAATTCGCTGATGAGCTGCTCCAAGCCCAAGACTTTGTCAGCCTGTCTCCACTGACCAAGTGTCCATGTGTATCTGGTCGGCGAGGGACAGATCACCCAGACTACGTTGCACTTGTAGGCTAATTCGACACTCGGCCTGTACACTGTAAACTTAGCCATTGATGCTCTTTCCAGAACACCCAGACCCAGACCCACCAAATCCGCTGCAATACCCTGAAGGATCGAGGGCTGACAAATGCACGACAGTGCGGCGCAACACGCCACCCTTCACTAGACTGGACCATGGACGCGAACCCGAGCAAGATAACCTTTGCGGTGTCTGCCGCTAGTTTCGCTCACTTAAGAGTGGCGTGGAGCTGTGCATCTGCATGTCGGCATCAGGAACGTGTCTGGGTGGTGAGTCCACTCCACAGGCCAGAAGGAAAGCGCGCGACTCCGCGAGCCTCCTGGAGACGCTGCTGCTGTGCCTGTGCCAGCTCCTGCAACTCACTGCGTAACTCACTGACAGAAGATGTACGAGGCCGTCTCTTACACTCTCTTACTGATCTGAACATCTCACACTACCTACAAGTATCACTCGAACTGCGGCTGTGTCACCGTCCTCTCGGGACTTGCGCAGCTGCCGCAAAGCCTGCTGGTGCATGTTCTCCAGGAAATCGATCCTGCTATGCTACAGACGCTTCTGAGGCGTCTGATGCACCACGTCAACCAGGTGCGTGACAAACAGCCTTTGCAAGAAGGCATGATTAACTTGGAGCAGCCGCGCCCGCTTTTCGGATGCACATGCTGCGAGCTTCGTGAGTGAGGAAGCATAGTATCTGCCGCTCTACCAAGTGACCAGCCATTTGCGCGACACAGCGAAGACAGAATCTATGCTGCTCTCTGGAAATGTCAGCTGGCTGCCTCAAGCGCGCGGCGGCCCCACGGGTCAAGCGGAAAATGCCAAGCGCAAGCTCCACGCCAGCTTTGGCTTATTGCCCCGTACTTCAACGCGATCCGAGGAGGTCCAGTACAATGCAACACAATGCGATACTCGTGCAACCGGAAACGAAAGCAGCCTCAGCCCGAGGACACGCACCTCTCTCTCGGGAATGCGTTTGACAAGTACAGCCCAAGGATGAGATGTGCAACTCTGTGCAACTCAACGTGATGCCTAAGTAGAAAATCAAGCATACTAGCCTGAGCACAGGCTAGCAGACCGCAAGCATCCGAATTAAATCCCAGCGGATCTGCAACGGTCATCCGCATAAGACCGGGAATTTCAAGTTCCAGCAGCAATACTGTATTGCCTCGCGCACTCCCACTCACCAGAGTTTGTGATCCAGGTCTGCTGCCTCGTCTGCTAGGCAAAGCTTCCGCATTGAGAGAAACGACTTTTAAAGCGTCATACAGAGTCATACATACCGCTACACGGTTTAAGCCGCATCACACAACATCACACGACACACAATCTTGAGGCAAAAGCGTGCGAGCGCGCTGCTGCGCCCCATCCTGACAAGACATGCAAGACGACAAGTCTAAGTCTGGGTGTATGCCAAGTTGGGTAATGGCAAGTCTCCCAACATACGCAGACCCTGCGAGCTGCAGCGGCCTGCTTCACGGCCATCAACTCAGTGGTCTTTTCTGGACCTCGAAATGCAAACTGCAGCACTTAGCGGGTCATTCAGGGTCCAGGTTGGATCCTTGAGGAGCCTGCTAAGATCTGATGACCTTCGCTTTTTCGTTGGGGTGATGGGCGTCCCTGCAGCGTCGTGCGGCACGGCCTGCGGTATGCAGCAGAGGACTTGCCCCTTCGGCTCGCGATAACAGCATGTGCCAGGCATCTTCTCATGACTTTTATCAGGGTGTCTCGAACCTGATACCGGCAGCGAAAGCTGCGCGCCCTGTCCTGGTCAGGAGGCGTCGGCGCTCGCTGAAGTCACCACATAGCCAACGCACTAATACCTAGGGCCGCATCGCCTGAACGTTGTGCAGAATCTCAAGTGAAGCTCCATGCGTCAACAAGAAGTCGACGTAACAAGCCCACAGCTGACTCACCTAGGCATGTCTGGCATGTGGTAAGCTGGACGTGCTGATGTCAATGTGCGCTTTACGACTGTATGGCCTCTTCGATAACGGGGACATTACGAGCTTGACGAGCTGTTGCGGCATGAATGGCCTGTGCCACAGCATACGACAACTGTCTGCGAGCTCATCCAAGCCATTGCAAGCCCGACTGCCTCCTCGAAAAGAGCCATGCATCTCGCCAGCTTGCCGGGGCCTGGACAATGCACATCCCAGGAACATTACCGACAGCACGAACAGACAGGACAGGAGCACCTTCGTCCGGAGCCGTGCGCATGAGAAGGGCCCTGGCAAGTGAGCTTCAGCTGGAGTAGCAAATGTCACAACGTCAGGGGTCAGGATACTTTTTGGGATCGGCCTGTGGGCCCATGAGTTTCCAAGTTTCTCGGATTCATGGTAGATGTGAATGAATCTAGGGCCGGGGCCGGAGGACAGCCCTGAATCATCCAAAATGACTGAACCCCATAACTTTGACGGCGGACTGACCGCCTGGCTGGCTGACTGGCTGACCACTTGGCTACTGTAGCAGCTGACTGACTGGCTGACTCGCAGACTGCCTAGATGGCTGGCTTAATGAGTGGCTGCCTGATTGACGGACTGCCTGACCGACCGACTGACTGGCTGACTTAACAGTGTCTGGCATTCATGTTCTCTGAAGTTGATGATGCTTTCCGCGGCACACACACACACAGACTCGGATAGGACACGAGCTGACAAGCTGTGATCTTCTTGCCCTGTCAAGCAGAAAGTACACACATTCACTGGGCCACCAACATGTATTATATATTTGTGAATAACGTCTGCCGTCTGAAGTGCGTGGAAGATCTGTCTAGTCGACGGATTGGTCTCCCCACGTTGCACACCTAACTTGAAGCAAGGCCGTACGGGTTCACACGCATGCGGCGGAGCGGTACAGCTATCATAATCGAGCCCATGTTGCGTGAGCTCCAGCAGCAAGCCCGAGTCACGACATCCGGCTTTCCAAGCGTCCATCAAAAACCTGCAGATGCGAAAAGAACCTCACGAGACAAGTGGCATGTTGGTTTTTGCAAGTCTGAGGCGCCGTCTTAGTGGCTTTGTTTGGCTGTTTCTGGCAGTCCTGCCAATACTGTGAGAGACGGTGAGAAATTGCTGGCTGCCCTCAGCCTCCATCAACCTTGCGTACCGACGACCTGAGCGAGAAGCTGCAGCGGATTGGAAAAGTGCGATGCGGATGCAGGGCCAAGAAGGAGGCTCAAAAACGAGCGGGAGTTCAGATTGACGGTCTGCAAGACAAACTTCTCCAGCAAAGACGCCGCAGACGAGACATCCTTGAGACATGGCCGCACGAGTCTGAGTTCGGATGCCTATAAAATCCTGCTTTCGCGTGAAGCCCCCGACAGATGTGCGCATCTCCAAAGCCACTCTTCGGATGGCAAGTTCTGTCGAGCCCATGCCTCCACTGCACGAAGCGAGCATTACTGATGAATGCGAGACCACTTTCGACTTTCATGTAAGGAAAGGGCCGCAAGTTTGCAGAGCCGCATCTAGTAAAGCACCAGCACGGTGCGGTCGTCCGCATTGCTCCTTCATTGTGACGCATGTTGCACCAGCATGGCACCAAATTTAATGCAGCAGCGCAGTTACATCTGCGGTACGTCGTTACATCGTCTCTGCAATGCAGCCTCGAGCTCTGCCCAGGCCGCCAAAGCATCCGGCCGGCGTGACAAGCGGCCGTTCAAGCAGGCACCTGTAAGGCTTCAGCTGATAACTTTTCAGAGCTTACAAGGCTTACAATAGGTGCGTACCGGCCTCGCAAGAGCTTGCAAGCAGCCTCTGGCTTGCAGGCTTGCTCCTCGCCAGAAGGCTTCCCGAGGTGATGCTCCGGACTCCGGCTCCGCTGCTCCGCCTCCATGGCCTTCAAGGCTCGAGCATACCGGAGCCAGAATTCCAAGTAGTTGTTCGTCACGACCTCACAGACAGCCCCTCTATGCCCCTCTGTTCTTACACGACAGCAGATGCATCAGATTGCAGCAGGAGCACGAGGCAGCGTTCGAAGAGAGCACAAAGCCGCCGCCATTCACGCGGATGCCGCGACCTGTCCAAAAAAACAAAACCGAATCTCGCCAGGTCCGGGGACATGTCAGAAGCTCGGTGGCCAACTCCTCGAAATCCAAATAGCACCGCCAAGCATCCAGTTGAGCTTGACTGAGGGGCTTGTTGTGGAAGTACTGTCGGTGAAGTGGTCCCTTACGGGCCGAGTCTCTGCAAAGAATTTGATTATCTACCTTAGCGGCCTCGTACTGCATCAGGACTGCTGCTTCTGAAGAGGTCTTGTTCCACAGCTCCTCGCACACATGGTTTCGCTGACCAACGCAAAGCTGCCAATGCTCGCGATGCCTCTCGGAGGCTTAAGAAGTGCTCTGCGCGATCCGATGCATCCAGCTCCTGGTCGCATCGAACATTCATGGACTTCAAAGCACGGTCTGCTGTGCTCTGCACGGTCGAAGGCTTCCTCAGCGCCCTTAAGACGCGCCAGCGCTCCCGCCGCACTGCCCTGCAGAAGTGGCACCGGCAGTGACAAAGAGCACAGCCGAGCCAAGTAGCAGCTCAAAGCTCATGAATGCTCAGGAAGATGGCGGGCCTATGAAAGAATTCCAAAACTTTGGATACCCTTCTGCAAATGATAAGACGGCGATGCGGTGAGCAAGGAATCCGCAAGTGATACCGCCGACCCTGTAACTCATCTCTGTTTTGGAGGCTCCCAAACAGTCTCGGTC